CCATTATCTAGACATTGGCTTGCATCTGTCATATGATTGAGTAGGAAGTCTGTACAAGTTCCGTTCTCCCTCCAGTTCTCCAGTTGTAACCCTATTACACCTACTACATTGTGAATAATGCTACTAGAAATATGTTGTACTAGTACCTGTTTGAATCCCTGCTTTTATTTTGAATTCCTGATCATGTGATAATTCTAGGTTTAAGTTTTTTGTTTTGTTTTGAGAGGAGATATTGCTGTGTTGCCTAGCCTGGTATGTTTAACTTTCAGGAAACCTCTAAACTACTTTCCACTGTGATTGGTCTATTTTACATTTTCACCAGCAATGTACAAGGACACCAGTTTCTCAACATCCTTGCCAACATTTATTTTCTAGGGTTTTCTTTCCTTCCTTTCTGTAAATCATTATTATTATTTTATAATAACCATCCTCACGGGAGATAAGTAGAATTTCATTGCGGTTTTGATTTCCAATTCCCTAATGAGTACTAATGTTGAACATCATTTCATGTGCTCATTGATGATTTGTGTGTTTTCTTTGGAGAAATGTCCACTTAAGTCTTTTACCGACTTTTGAATAGGGTTGTTTAGTTTTTGTCTTTTAGTTATAAGTATTCTTTATGTATTCTGTTGTTATCGTTTAGGTGTATGCTTTACAAATATCTTCCATTCTGTGGGTTTTCTTTTAATTTTCTTGATAGCACCTTTCATGCACAAGAGTTTTTTGGTTTTTTTTTTTTAAATTTATATTTTTTAGTTGTAGGTGGACACAGCACCTTTATTTTACCTTTTTTATGTGATGCTGGGGATCGAATCCAGTGCCTCACACATGCTAGGCAAGCGTTCTACCACTAAGCCACAACCCCAGCTCCAGGAGTTTTTAATTTTGATTAAGTCAACTCATCTGGTTTTTCTTTGTTGCTCATTTTTTGGTCTTATATTTATGAAATCATTGCCAAATCCAAAGTTTTGAATATTTATGAAGATCTGTGGATTTTTTTTCCTCTTAACTCCGAAGTTTAATTTGTTGATCCATTTTGAGGTCATCTTGGTATATGACTTTAGGTAAGGGTCCAATTTCATTCTTTTGCATGTGGATATCCAGTTTTCCCAGCACCCATTAAACAGTCTTGGTTCCCTTGTCAAAAATCAATTGACCTTTGTCTCAGTTTGGTCTGCTAGAAAAAAATTGAATAACAAACATTTCTGAACAACAAAGATTTCTTCTCATAATTCCAGAAACTGGGAAGTCCAAGATCAAGGGGTATTAGTCACTTTTCTGTTGTTATAACAAAATACTTGAGCAAATCAACATATAAAAAGAAAAAACCTTATTTTGGCTCATAGTTTTGAAGGTTCTAGTTCATGACTGATTGGTCCCATTCCTTTGGAGCCTATGGCAAGGCATCTAATCATGGAAGAAAAATCAGAGGAAGGAACTGGGGTCCCCAAATCTCCTTCAAGGACACACTCCCAATATATATCCCACTAGGCCCCACTCTAAAACATTCTACCACTTCCCAATAAGGCCACTCTCGGGACCAGGCCTTTAACACATAGGCCTATGGGGCCTTTGCGGGGCACGCAAGGTGTTGGTGGATCTGTGTCTGGCACAGTGCCACCTCTTGGTTTGCAGGTGACTTATTTGTTCATTGCATCTTTGCATGGAAAAGAGCACAGATAAGAAAACATGTCTTTCATGTATGCCTGTGATGCTGGTGGTTGAACCTTGAGCATGCTAAGCATATGTTCTACACCCCCTGCTGCTCATATCTTGTCTTAAGGAACATTAATCTCATCATAAGGTGTCACTTTAATGACCTACTTGCTTCACAAAGGTCCCATTTCCAAATATGATTCCATTGGGGATTATGGTTTCAACATAAGGAGTGTGGGACATACAAATATTTAGCCTATAGCAACCACATTTGTGAGAGTTTGTTTCTGGGGTCTGTGTTCTAGTCCCTTGGTTTATATATCCTTATGACAGTATCATCCCCCTTTTATTACTGTAGCTTTATATTAAATTCTCAAATCAAGAAGTGTGTGTCTTCTAATTTTTTTTGTTTTCAAGATTTGTTTTGGTTGTTTGGAGTCTCTTGAAATTCCATATGAATTTTTGAATGAGCTTTTCAATTTTTTCAAAATATGCCATGGGAATTTTGATAGGGATTGCATTGCATCTGTAGACCAATCCCTTTAGGTAGTATTTTCATCTTAGCAAGTCTTTCAGTCTGTGAACCCAGGATTTTTCCATTATTTTTTTTTTCAATCCCCCTCTCAGCAGTATTTTGTAGTTGTAATTAATTTCTTTCTTATTTGCCCGCTCTTCTTTTTTGGGAGGTGGGGTAGTGGGGATATAACCAGGGGCAGGGGGGCTTTACTACTGAGCTATATCCTCAGCATTTTATTTTCAGACAATGTTTCACTAAGTGGTTTAGGGCCTTGCTAAATTGCTGAGGTTGGCCTTGAACTTGATTCTCCTGCCTCAGCCTCCTGAGTTACTGGGATCACAGGTGTGCACCACCATCCCCTGCTTGCCCTTCCTTCTCAAACTATCTGTACCAGATTTGTTGACGTATCAGAAACCAGTGAGAGCAAGGGAGGAAGATTACCTCTAGATAGGGAATAGGGGTGGGAGGGAAATAGAGGAAAGGGGAATAGCATGGATGTTGGAAGGAGACCCTCATCATTATCTAAAATACATGTATGAAGATGTGAATTTGGTGTCAACATACCTTATATACAATCAGAGATATGATAAATTGTGGTATAAAGGTGTATTAAGAATTGTACTCTCTCTCTCTCTCTCTCTTTTAAAAAAAAAAAAAAATCACTGGGGATGTGGCATGCGAGGCAGCCCGGGTTCGATCCTCAGCACCACATACAAACAAAGATGTTGTGTCCGCCGAAAACTTTTTAAAAATAAATAAATAAATATTAAAATTTTCTCTCTTTCTCTAAAAAAAAAGAATTATAATGCAAAAATAATAAGAGCTCATGTTTAAAAAACTTATGTGCATACAATAACTTGTACATAAATGTAAAAAAGCAGCTTTGTTAATAACAGCTAAAGAGTGGAAACAACTCACAAGTCCATCAATTGATGAGTAAATCAAAATTGATGGGTAAATCAAAACCAGTGGATGAATACAATGGAATATTATTTGCCAATAAGAAGGAATAAAGTGCTGGTACATGGCACGACATGAATGAACCTCAAAAACATCATCTAACTGAAAGAAGGCAGTCACAGAAGACCATGTGTTATAGGATCTCACTCATATGAAATGTCTAGAATAGACAAGTACAGAGAGAGCGGAATAGTGGCTATTGCTAGAGGCAGTAGGAGTTTGGGGAGGATGATTGAGGGGGCTAAGAAGAATGGTTCTTTTGAGGGGTAATGAAAATGTTCTAAACTGATTATTGTGATAGATGCACAATTCTGTAAACATAGTAAAAGCTACTGGATTTTACACTTTAAATTGACAGATTGTATAGTATAAGAATTATATACCAACTAAATTTTATATGTAATATAAAATACATGTTATACTTTAAAAAAGAAACAAACAAACAAACAAACCAATGAAAAGAGTCTTATACATTTGTCTGCTGTTTTCTAAATTTTGGGTTGTTCACTCACAGCTGTCAATCCCATTTAATTTCTTGAACTCCAGGTACTGTTCAGCAGCTTGGTCTATCTGTTCTTGTTCTTTGGCTATACTTTGACTTTTCAAATATTCTACTACTAGATTTAAGAATTTTTACATCTTCTTAATATGAAAAGATGCCAACTGAAAGGTTTTCCAGGCATATGGTTCATATCAGTACACTGAAAAGTCATCAGTATATTTTTCCAAAAGCCATCAGTATTTTTTTCCCAATGAAAATGGAATGATGATCTACTCTCAAAGAATAGAGAAATGCTGTTTAGATGTTCACTGATATTTAAATGAGGTGTTTCCTGTGCTTGGATAGATTGTTCCTTGATTGATTGCTTTCATATGCATTTTACTCAGTCAAAAGAATGTATAGCTTATTATGAAATAAAGAATCTACCAAAATTTGAGTTCTGAGCACAGTTCAAGCAGTTTCATAACATTTATGTTACACTTCTTTTTAGTTACTTGACTTTAAGTTGCCCTCATTGAAGTAATGGTTTTATTTTTTGTCAGCTTTCTTTTCTAAAATTTGCGTTTCTTAATAAAAATTGAGTAATTATAGGGTGGATTTAATTTTCCCCATCCCATGAAATTATTAGAGTTCTTTTTTTCTGTTGTATATGGTTTACCCAGTAAGTAAGGGATCTTCTAAAGAGTAAGCTTGTGATTTTATAGAATTAGAATATTTTTGTTCAAGATGTTTTAAGTTTAGGGGGGAAAGTCTAAAATGAAATGCACTGTGATTTAGATGTAAATATTGACACCCCCACCCTCCCAACCTTACCTCCACTTCTAATTTTTAGTGGTCTCATCATTAGCCACCAAATTCATTTTACTTGTTAAGATATTAGTGGTATGTTAAGTTTTGGCTTTTTTATTTACATAAATTTAGTTTCTGCCCTGTCTCCCTTTGCTCAAAATGTGAAAAATTAGGAGAAAGCCTTAATTAGATGTGGAAAAGTATTCAAATGCACAATAATATATAGAGCTATATAGCAGCTTATTTTGAAGGAATTTTACAAAAGAAATAAATGTGTTAATTGTTCTTTATATTATCTGTAAGCTTGCAGTTACAAGAAATCCCAAAAGTACTAGGCCTTTGAGGTTTTATCATTTGCTGCCTAAGCCCAAAATCAGCCAGTGGTCACTGATTTGGGGAAGAACTAAGCACAGAATAATCTGTAATATACAGTCCTAGAATGGTAGTGCAATTGTATATGATCAGTTATATTTACTAAACTACCAGTGGTTCTAAGTAAAAAACTCAGACCCAGAAAGTAAATGGATTAATCTGACAATATTTTATATTCAAGGTTTATTATATTCTGTTCAACAGAAATGTACATCAGAACATTCATCCAGAAAACCAAGAGCTAGTGAGGGTGCTTCGAGAACAACTTCAAACAGAACAGGTACTGTTATGTAACGTGCATTTATGTAAGGAGTAGATGTTATAATTCCCTTTGAATGTACAGTTAATTACTTTTGAGAAACAGGGACTGTTTTCCTGCTTTCTTTCCTGCCTTCAATTGTTCTATAGGTTGTATGTTTTCAGATTAAGTATATTGCCCAGTCAACATCTATTCAGATGTTTACATGTTTTTTTTTAACTTGCTTTAAAAAAGAATGGTTTTCCTATTATTTATTTGTATAGAAATAATCACTGTAATTGGCCTTAACTGAAATGTAGTAGAAAATTATTTTTTAAAACATATATACCCAAAAACCTTCAAAGAAATATTTGTACCTCCCCGTTTTCTTCAGTGATCAGAGTTAACAGAACTAGTTAGAAAAAGAAGAAAACTTTTCCTCTCTGCCTCTTCTTTACTTTTTACCTCATAAACAGTATGGTTTATGAGAGTCAGAATAAATGGAATATTTTATACCTTCATACCTATATCACTAACATCAAAAATAAAAATTTTAGCTGGGCTTGGTAGCACATGCCTGTAACCAGGAGGCTGAGCCAGGAGGATCGTAAGTTTCTAGCTCTCCTGGGCAACATAGTGAAACCCTGTCTCAAATGAAAAATGAGAAGGATATAACTCAGTGGTAAAGCGCCCCCGTGTTTGATCCCCAGTAGCAAAAAAAAAGTTTTGATTGCTTTCCTACCCAAACTTTAGTTCCAATGAAGGCTTATAATTTATCCATTCACCAAATATATTTCAAACTTCTGTCATGTCCCAGGCATTGTTATAGGTATTGGGAATCCAATTGTGAACTAAACAGACAAAAATTCCTACCCTCATGGAACTGAAGTTCCATTCATCAATTCGAGAATAGTTTAAGCATGTTAATAGTGCTGTATTCCAAAGTAATTGTTTTCAATAATTCATGTTCAGATAATGTTTTATAATTTACAAAGTGATTTCACAAACAACTATCTTATTTAATCTTCAGACATGCTAAGCATAGCAATTATTATCATTTGCATTAACACATTAGATTGCTAATTACTTAAATTCACACTAGCAATTACATTAATGGGTTTAGCTATACTGGAGTCACAAATAGAAGTGAATCTTCTGGATTTCTTTGTACCTCAAACCCATTGTTTACCTCCCAGCTTCCTCAGGCATGACATTATACCTATTGGAACTAGAATAAAACTAGTGACTTAGCCTATTCTGTATTGTTCAACATAATAGCCACTTGTGGCTATTTAAATTTAATTTAAATAAGATTTAAAATTCAGTACTTTAGTCACAACAGCCACATGTGGATAGCAGCTGCCAAAGTGGGTAGTACAGATAAAGATTTCTATGATTACAGAAAGTTCTATTGAACAGCACTGGTAATTGTTTTTTGTCAATATCTAAAAAGAATGAGAAACAATGGAAAGGTGAACATTAAGGTTCTCCTTACATTTTTCTTTTTGTACTATTAAAACTGGCATGAATAATTACAATATCTGAGTGTGACCTAGAATTATAGAATATTCTGGTAACTTAGCAGTAATTTGAAATTTTAGAGGTAACTTAGAGGAAATTTGAAATTTAAATTGTGGTTTACAATATTGGGAAACAAAGGGCTTGGGATATAGCTCAGTTGGTAGAGTGCTTGCCTTGCAATCACAAGGCCCTGGGTTTAATCCTCAGCACCACCAAAAAAAAAAAAAAAAAAATTGGGAAGCCAAGTTCTTTGATTCATTATAGTTAACAATTCATGTTTAATATATCTGATATTTTTAAAATTAGATGTTTTTAATGCTAGCTACTTTGTTTATAAGATATGTACTGGGTGCTATCAAACAGGTTTTGATAAATGTTTATTGACAAGATAAACATTTCATACTAATGCTGGATGCTTTTCTAAGTCCTTTTTAAATTCAAGACCTATATGTATACATAGGCTAGATCCCTAATTTTCCCCTTTGTCACATTTTGTATTTCCTAAGTAGTATAATTGCTTCTGATATCCTGCTCTGCTTGTCATCCAAGTATATTTAGCATATGAATAATGACTATAGTGAGTCCTACAGATGAAGGCCTTGTCTTTATGGCACTTGTATTCTAGTGAGATCTTTGATATCTGGATTCTTCTTATGCTGGTAATTGTACTCGGTACTTCTGTTCGATCACAACACAACTTTGTGAAGGTCTGAGTTCAAGTTACCAGTGATCTTAAATTTTTCTGCTTCCAAAATGAGGAAGTATTCTTTTCCAAAAGTTTAATTCTGATCTTATATAAAGTATCACATATATGCAACACTTTGTCTGGAGGATAGCTATGAGAACAGAAAAAGAGGTTGCCGCAGTCTGGCTGGGCACAAATGCCGCAGTCTGGCTGGGCACACAATCACGAGCCACCACACAGCTTGTAGATTCAAACAGCAACTCTTTATTCCCGAACTCACACCAGCCGTCTACAATCACGTTCTGGGGAAATCCACGTTCTCTGCCCAAATCCACGTTCTCTGTCCAAATCCACCTCCACTGGGCTTCTATCTCCAAAATATACTGTCTGAATCCCGTGAGAACTCAAGGGGAACTCAGGCAGCAGGATACGCCCTATTCCCAGCAGGAATAATCTTAAACCTTAAACCTGGAACCTAAACTGGGAACGCCCTAAACAAGATTATCTTAAAACCGGGAACACCCTAATCTGCCTTGGTCCTTGAGCAAGGTTAAGTACATTCAATGTCACTGCAACATGGGGTACGCTGGCAAGGAAATTGTCATACTTACTTGGCTAATGGCTCCCAGCATCTCCCCCCTTCTGATTAATTAAACAACAAGCAATGTGGCTTAAGGACCGTGCCTGGTAGGTTGTCCAATTCAACATATGGTTCTTACCCGTCATCGGAAAACTGACCTTTAGGCGTCAGCCTCCTGTCTTAGGTTGATACCACTGCAATTGAATCATACCCGTCACTGACTACCGGTCCAGCATACAGCCATACTTGTGGATAGGTCTATGCACCAGTGGGGGGGGTGAGGTTCTTTGCCTCACCTCTGTTGGCCCCCAAATTTGGCCTTGGTGCCAGTGGGGGAGTGAGGTTAATGTGGCTTATGGACCGTGCCTGGTAGGTTGTCCAATTCAACATATGGTTCTTACCCGTCATCGGAAAACTGACCTTTAGGCGTCAGCCTCCTGTCTTAGGTTGATACCACTGCAATTGGATCATACCCGTCACTGACTACTGGTCCAGCATAAGCCATTGGCCCCCAAATTTTAGATCATCACTAGCAGAAGGGAGGAGGATACAGAAATGCCACGACACCAAGCCAATTGACGGCTCCTTGGGAAAAATTGCATCACTAGTGACACCATCAGCAAAGATATGCCAGCATTACCACAATTCGCTGCACCAAACGATAGTTACATAGTCCAGGCAAGTTCTGCAAGCAGTTCAAAGCAGAGGAATCTATCAATATGTCCATTTCCTCCCAAAATCCGTTTCCTCCCAAAGTAAGTTGACTCTTTGAGCATTACTTGTTGAGTTCTTCACCGGCACTGGGATGGAGATAGGAATTCTGGCAATGATGCTAAAGAGACATTATCCTGAAAAGAATTATTAAATATAATGAAAAGGAAAGGTGAAAGTAAACAGATCTGTTAACCTACTTTAAAAAAAATCCTTAACAGCTTTTTACCTAATTTAAATTAATAAACAAACAGATCTGTTAACCACCTTTAAAAACAATCCTTAACAGCTGTTTACATAATTTAAATTAAACCATTTAAATCACGTGAATAAAAAAAATAATAATAATTCGGATCCATTTTATCATGAGCGCTCCTCATATAAGAAATATGGACATACGCACATACAGACATACAACACAAAACACAAGAGTGTACACAAACGTACAACACATAAGAAAATAGTAAAGGCCTTGTAGCTTTACCTAGGTGAAATCTCCATTGCAATGTTTAAAAACTCCACAGTCAAAAAATAAAACTGATCAGAAAAACATTAACCTAGGTTTGTATGAGCTCAAAAAATAAAAATAGAACCTTATGATGTGGAAAAATGCAATAATAAAATAGCTATTGAAAAAAGCATCCTGGTTAATCACTGTCGCAGATGTAAGAATGGCCAAGCTGGAGTTCTGGATATCAACTGTTATGGATTTGAGTCAAATCATCTTCTTTTCGATCTGTAGAAACTGTTTTAGTTAATCTCTCTGGAATCCAAATGGGCTGCTGTTCTCCCTGTGGAAAAACACAAACAGACCCCCGACTCCAGACAATCACTGGGTCAGGACCTTTCCATTGTCCTGTTAGAATATCTTTCCAAAGTACTTTAGGCTTATGTACATTTTTTGGATACATATGCCTTTCCGCAGCACTAAGTCCTGATGAATCCAAATTTAAAAAGTTTAGAGTAAAAAGCGTTATTTTAAGTTTATCTTTGGGGGATATATACTTAAACTTAAACTTAAAAAAAGCTAATAGTTAGAAAATATTTTGACTCTTCTTTTTTTCCTTTTGGTGGTTCTGGGGATCGAATCCAGGGCCTCATGGATGCTAATCTGGTGCCTTAATACTGAACTACACCTCCAGCCTGACATTTCTTACTCTTCAGCTTAATGTATTAGCTCAGCCTTGCTCTACACAGAATAACTTATATGGAAAGGCTAAAAGAGAAACTCTTGAATTAATCTAGATTTATTTCTTTAAATGTATTTAGGAAGGAAGGTAGACACCCTATAGCTTAAAAAAAACAACAGTATAGCTTTATAACTTGTTAAATTTATATAAGACCTTAAACTATTTTTTTATTTATTTAGTTGTAGATGGACACAATATCTTTATTTATTCATTTTTATGTGGTGCTGAGGATTGAACCCAGGGTCTCACACATGCAAGGCAAGTGTTCTACCACTGAGCTCAGCCCCAGCCCCTTAAACTATTTTTTATAAGACCTTAAACTATTGCATATCTGAAAATTGATGGATTACACACTATTGACAGTGTTCTTTCTTTTTTCCCTCAGTGGTGGGGTAGAACCCAGGGCATTGCACATGCTAAGCAAGTATCTATCACTGAACTATAACCCAGCTCTTTTCAGTTTATTTGGAGATAGGGTGTCTATAAATTGTTGAGGTTAGCCTTGACCTTGCAGTCCTCCTGTCTCAGCCTTCCAGTTAGCTGGGATTACAAGCATGTGCCACCATACCTGGCTTGACAGTGTTCTTATACGTAATTTAACATTAAAGACAATTTTGAATGCTCAGTATATAATTATGTGTACATATCTTCTTATCAGGATGCACCTGCTGCTACTCGACAGCAGTTCTACACTGACATGTACTGTCCAATCTGTTTACATCAAGCTTCCTTACCTGTTGAAACAAACTGTGGACATCTTTTTTGTGGTAAGCAAACAATTCTATACTTTGGTAGAAGTAACTGTTTAAATCAAGACCTATATGTATACACAGGCTGGATCCCTAATTTTTCCTTTGTCACATTCTGTATTGCTTCTGATATCCTGTTCTACTTGTCATCCAAGTATATACTGCATCTGAATAATCAACTATATGTGTATGTTTTTTCTACTTAGTACGTTATTTTGCATTTTTGGTTCAAAGGTTAAAAAAATAATTGTTCAGCTTCTCAGTCAATGCATTTCTTTGCATAGTAATTCAAGTATGTCAGTAGCATTAAGGATTCACTGAATTTCAACTTGTTCTTTACTCTTTAGTAGTTTCATTATGCATCCTACCCAGGGCAGAAAGGTTTTTCTTTTAAGAACCCTGTCTAAAACCTTCCCTTAGCTCTACTATCTCTATTTACTCATTTAATACGAAGTTCTTAGTTTCCCTCTTTCTTTTTGGAGAAGGACAATGAGAAACCTAGAACATACAGTGAGAGTACTGATCTCATACTGATGCTTTCCACCTCATTATTATTGTTGTTGTTTGACACTCCAGAGGAAAGATTTCACAGAGAATAATGAAATATCATCATTGCTTGTTATAGCTATACAAGATTAGAGGGATGGCCATATATACTGGACATACTTCACCTCATCTAACCCCATAAATGAAAAAATGAAGGCTCACAGACATTAAGAAATTTTATAAAGGATAACCTAACTGCTAAGCAACAGAGATCTGTTCCATTATAGTTAGTGAAGAATAATAGCAACAGATAATCGCCTTATGTGCATTTGTAACCCACATTATTTTATTTAATTCTCCAGATGGCTTCTGAGGTCTTAAACCTTGGTCTGTCTTCAAGTCCTGTGCTCAGTTCTGTATGTGATTGATGACATTCTTAAAACTGTCTACTTAAATTTATCTAATTATTAGACCTTTTTTTTGTTGTTGTTAATAGTACTACTTTGTGTTTTTTGAGAAGTTCAGAATAACTAGGGTTGTTTTTTTTTTAACCTTTGTACAGACACTAAATAAAAGTGCATAACAAGTAAAGCAGTATAACACAAGTAATCTACCTTATCACCTCAGACATATCGAGATTGTGTTTTTTTGTTTTTGTTTTTTTTTCTTGTGGTGCTGGGGATTGAACCCAGGGCACTTTACCACTGAGCTACATCCCCAGCCCTCACCCCGCTTTTTAGGGGCAGGGACAATGTCTCTTTAAGTTGCCAAAGCTGGCCTAGAACTTGTTATTTTCCTGCCTCAGCTTCTTGAATAGCTGGAATTACAGGCAAGATGGAGGCTTAATTGTTCCCCAAATGTATAAGTTTTCACATAAATGCATACAATGATCCTATAAATTGCTTTCTCCCTTTGTTATAATGTTTGATAAAAAGCATAGAATTCTTAACTACATTATTATTTATGCTGTGGAGGATGACTTAAATATATAAATACCTATCATGCAATGCTGGGTTTTCTATGTACCTTAACCTCATCCCACCTTGCTTCATCCATTAATAACTTCTTCCCTAAGGAGCTAACAAATTATAAAACACTTATTTCTGGTTTTTAGTTTTGTGTTATCTCTTGGAAATGTTAATGATCTGCAAAATAATGGAAGATCAGATGGGGAAATATTACTGGCCATCAGAGACAATAGAAAGCTTTCCCCTCTCAAACCTTTGGTAGATATTCTTAATCAATTTGACACTCTTCTCTTTTGAGTCACTCAACCTCTAGCACAGTCCTCCAGGAAGGGTTAACAGTCAAAGAAGCAAGATGAATTATTTGCCAACGCAGGTATAGCTAATTCATTGAGTAGATCATCCTGTCAATTGAAAGATGGCTTGTACTGTATTCTTGGTTTTATCTCTGATTCTAAGGTAATAGGGTAGATTGCTTCTGATATCCTGCTGTACTTCTTAATAAGCACTTTGATTTAGTGTCTGTAGGCTCAAATGTTTAAAGAAGAAAAGAAAACCTAGTTACTCAACTTCCCAATAAACAGAAATGTATTTCTTTGGGTACTACTTCAAGTATATTAAACTGTATTACAAGAGCACTTTGGCTGAATTCCTATATAAAAAACCACACCTCTGTTACATTTCAGTGAACTAAGAATAAATAGCAACAGATATCACCTTACTTTCATTTGTAACACACATTATTTTATTTAATGATCCAGCAGGCTTATGAGATCTCATCACTTTACAAATAAACAGATTCAGAGATATTGTGACCCAGATGAAAGCTGAGTCATCTCTCCCACCATTCTATTCACATGGAGACCTTTTTATATGGTGGGGGAGAGTTGAAGAACAGGAAAACATCAAGCATTTAATAGCAGATTTAAGTGAATGAAGTGTTTGGTTTTCTAGGCTACAGTTTTTCAGTGCAGGTAAGTGGCTATGACATAATTTTTAAACAAGGACTCCTACATCCTAATTTGTAAAGAGATGTGAGATTAAATGAGTTTAATGTGTTAAAACACATTGACTTGTTGGGTGAAAAAGTAGATAAAATGAAGACATTGTGACAAATGGTAATAATATTACTAAGAGATTGATGAATTTTGTTTTCATATAGTCTCTATTTGAAAATCAGATTGCTCGATGTGCTTAATAAATGTTATCTAATACAGTATTCTGGAAGGGTAGAGATATAAGATGATTGTCCAGCTTTTAAACTAATCTTTAAATTGGTGAACCTGTTGTTCCCCACAGGCCCTATAGTGTCCAGTTGGCCCTATAGTGTCCAATGGATAAGCTTCTGCTTATTTATTTGGTCACCATTATGCTCACATTGACCATTTCTGCCCATAGCATGTGCTCTTGCTGTTCATAAACCCTGAATTGTCCTCCCTCATGTTTTCTGCCTACTGAATCATATGTATCCCACAAAGTTCAGTTCAGATCCTTTCTTCTCTGTTTAACTTTCTACTGCATCCCTCTCTGTACTCCTTTTTATTTAATATTAACCAGTTCAAGATTTAGCTACCTTCTGCCAAACTTGGTGTCCCACACCTGTAACCCCAGCTACTTGGGAGGCTGAGGCAGAAGAATTTTAAGTTTGAGGCCAGATTAGGCAACTTGGTGAAAACCTGGGGATGTAGATCAGTGGTAGAGCACCCCTTGAGTTCAATCCCTGGTACCACAAGAAAAATTTGAAAAGATTTAGGTATCTTCTAGCATATTTAAATAAATCACCTTGGTCTCCCCAATTGGGTTACCATTGCTTATTCTGAATTCTGATCTGGAAGAATAATAAGGAACACAGGAAGTTAAGCTAGGTTGCTAAGGTGAGAGTAAGACTACAGGGAGGATTTTGGAGGTGGAAGGGAGGCTTAGTGTCATGAGAAAAGAAATGTTTCTGGAAAGAGGGTCTCAAGGAGCTCTCAGAGGGGGGACCTTGACTCAGGACCATTGACATGATGGAAAATAATTTCAACACATTTTTGTAGAGGCAAAGATTTATTTAGGAAAGCAAGAAATAGACTTTCAAGGGATAGGCCATCTCAAGAGTGAGAGATGCATTTGAGGGGTTCCCAGCTCTCCTTTAATAGGAAACTTGATAAAGAATGGGTTTGGGAAGTTATGTAGATCATCAGTCTGGTGATCTCAAGATGAATTTCCATGTCCTTCCTTTATGACTTTTTACTACCTGGATTTGTTGTTTGTTTTATTCCGTCCTACCTCATTTAGCCACTTGTTCAGATTTGCTTATGGGACTTGGAGGGTCAAAGATTACAGTTATTCTACAAAGAAGAAAATGATTTGGCCTCTTAAGAAACAGACAGTATTTTAAAATAGTCCTTCATGTTATTAGCCTAAAGATTAGTGCTTATCCACTTAGCTCTCCTGCCACTTTTTGAAGTCACATAAACTGGCTCTAGGCAATGTTGCCCATCTTTACCTGTTTTGCTGCTCATGAATACCTTCAAGCAGAAAAATCAAATTCATGTAGAATAAGAGTCAATTCAATTATTGGACTGGATTTTAAACTTTATTAGGGCAGAGATCATGTAATATTTTATTTTGGTTCCTTGCTTCATTTTATCTAACTACTACTTAGTTACTATTAATACTTCCAGATTATGGTTATCTAAATTCTTAAAAAAATAAAACTTGTATTTTTGTAACATACATGTCACATTTGGAACCATTTATGCTATGATTTGTTGGTTGTCTTATCCGCCCCCTCTTTGGAATCAGGGATTAAACCCAGGGGCACTTAACTACTGAGCTACATCCCTAACCCTTTTTTATATTTTATTAGAGACAGGATCTTGCTGAGTTGCTTAGGGCCTCGCTAAGTTGCTGAGGTTAGGTTTGAATTCTGGATCCTTCTGCCTCAGCTTCCTGAGTTCCTGGGCTTACAGGCGTGTGCCACCATGCCCAGCTGGTTGATTATCTTATTTACAGTGACGTTTATTTTATTTATTGTACATAGGAAATAAAGTATTTTCTATGAAGCCTTATTATTGAAGCAGTTAATATTTTGCTTTATTAAATAAAAATGTTTGTTGCTTAACTAATACTTTAAATAAAAATACTTTTTAATGGCTGGGAATTGTTACTATGTTTGAATTTGCCTGAAGAGTTGGTAGGATGGAGTAAAAATTTGGATGGAACACAGTGGCTAACATATGCTGGGGAAGCACTCTACCCAGCTATACCTCCATCCCTAAAAACTATTTTTGAAAAAAATAATGTTATTGTCTTTTTTATACTTTTATTTTATTTGTTTATATTTATTTGGTGATAAGGATGGAACCCAGTGCCTCACTCATGCTAGACAAGTGCTCTACCACTGAGCTGCAGCCCCAGCACCTAAAACCTATTTTTAAATAAGGTGACACTGTTAAATATTTGAAGCTTTCTCAAGATATAAGGACTTTAAAACATCAGTATTAATGTTTTCTTTTTTCCATTAGGTACCTGCATTATTGCATACTGGAGATACGGTTCATGGCTTGGGGCAATAAGTTGTCCAATCTGTAGACAAACGGTAATATACTTTATGTCCACAAAACATCATTTATGATTCTTCTTTTACAAACTTTAATAGTTTTTGTATTTTAAATTTTGAATTTTTTTTACTTTTTAGCAGAACTTCATTTATCCAAAGCTTCTGATTTTACTTAACAACAACAACAAAAAAAAATCATTAAGACACCACCAAAAAGGGACATTCTATTTGAAATCTGACAGTTGTAGAAGTTGAGTCTTACCCAAGTCATAAGTCTTTATTATAATACCAGTAAAGAAATATCTGAATTAGCTAATCATGCTTAAGCATATATCTCCTATATGTACTACTTTGAAAAATTGTTTTTCTTTTTTCACTTATATTTAATCTGCCCTTTTTTAGTGAAGGTTCTGATATCTTTAAATATTGTATAACATTTTTTTAAAATTTTTCATTTCTTTTAGAGACATAACAATATTTACACAATGGACAATTATAGTTAGTGTAGAAGCTACCTGTGAAAGGAGGCAGGAGGCAGTACGTTTTTATAAGTGTAAATTTGAAGACTAAAATGTTAGCACAGGTGAAATGTGCAAAATAGTGAACAATTCTGAAAAACCAAAGTTCTTAGTTTTTTTGATACAGTTTAGTCTGTCAATTATATAGCTTTGGTAATTATATAGCTTTATACTTATTTTTCATTTAAAATATATAATTGTCTGCCAGGCGCGGTTGCACATACCTATAATCCCAGCAGCTCAGGAGGCTGAGACAGGAGGATCTCCAGTTCAAAGCCAGCCTCAGCAGTAGTGAGGCGCTAGGCTACTCAGTGAGACCCTGTCTCTAAATAAAATATAAAAAAAGGGCTGGGGATGCGGCTCGGTGGTCCAGTGCCCCTAAGTTCAATCCCTGGTACCCCCCCCAAAAAAAACCACACTTTTCTGATAACAATTTGTGAACATATTTGTAAAAAATAGCATTTCCTTTAGATGTCTTCCAGTATGCAAAACAAAGTCCTAAAAAGGATAGAGAACTTCCAAAGATGTCTAGTTGAATGCACACTTTTACTTTTTTCCCTCTTGAAACCCCACTAAAACAGTGAAGGGCATTTTGTAAAGGCATAAATCCATAGAGACAAAAAATAAAATACACAATGGAAGCAGCAATTTTTCAAAAATTTCTTCGTAAAAAAAAAAAAAATTTCTTTGTGAAACATAAAAGCCATTAAAAAACACACACACAATACAAAGAAGTACAGTTCATTATATTATTACAAAGCAACACTCCAGCAATTACTATCAGATGGAGAACTAGAAACTACCAATAGCCCCAGAAGCACACCTAGGCCTCCTTCCAAATCTCCACCCTGCTCCTTCCTCACCTAGAAGTAGCTACTATTTGACTTTTATGGTAGACATTCCTCCACTTCAGCATGCATGTATTATTTTTAGTTTTGTCCAATCTTAAACTTTATGAAACACACATAGTATGCAGTGTTTTTTTTTGTGTGTGTGCATGCACTCGCATATATATACATATATATACTCACATGTGTGTATATATGTATGTATATACATATATATGTATACATATATACATATAAAGATATATATCTTTTATATATATAAAGATATATATATACATATATATATATAAAGAGATATATATATATATATATATATATATATATATCTTTCAGCCTTCATTCTGGCTGTCCCATTTCCCTCATCACTAATGGGCTTGTTGTTTTGAGCACAGAGGGAAGTCCAGATCATCTTTCTTTCTTGTTTCTACAGTTCCAAATTCTGACTCATTCAGGTTTTATTTTCTCAAATGATCAGGAGGAAACTGAATTTTTTCATATTGCCTCTTTGGCTAATTTGATGAATGACACAAGGAAGTCAATACTGGAGCTAATTTGCCAATACCACTTCTTATCACCTTTTGCCATTTTCCAGCAACACAGGGACCAGGTAGTAGGTCTGGCATTAAAGATTTCATTCCACCATCTGTCCCTTCTCTTTGACTCTATCCACAACTTTTCATAGGACATATGTAAGCTGTAGTATCTTTTGTACCACCCATAAATTAACTTGAGGCTAATAAGATAGAGACGAAGGTATCTTAATATAATAGCCATTGATTTCCTAATTGTAGAGTAACTCATCCTAAAGGCAAGACAGATGACTGGTACCACTCCACTTCCTCCTTCATGGGGCTCCTTTAGTAAATGGTCATTGAAATAATAATGTACAGGCTCTGTGCCTCTGACTGGAACACACTCATCACTTCTCTCAGTACACAACACAAACAGTTCTACCCATATTCCATGGTTTAGCTTTAAGTTTCAGTCTTTCTAAACACCCAAGCCAAAAGTCCTCTAAAAGCATCTTATAACACCTCCCACGGTGCTATAGAACAGGCTGTAGAACAGGTCTTTTATTTGGGGTCTTGAAATCACCCAGGGGAAGGTCCATTTCTTCTTCATCTTTTTTGTATAGGTAGCTCTAATATAGTGCCTGGCCAACAGTAGGTGCCCTATTGATGTTTATTGAAAGAATGCATTTTTATTAACAAATCTGTGAATGAAGAGATGGCAATATCTGCTGTTCCTACCACCTACTGAGCTTAGTCACTCCTTTGCTTAGCTATTTGGAAAGCATTTAGGCAGTGAGAAGCCCTGGTTTAACAGCTTGAACTGAGGAAAGATAAAAAACAACAGCTGAGATGATTTAAATCTGTTCCTACTCTTTCCCATTTTTATCTTATCACATAACTCATCAGTGACCGTTTTCTATAGGTTGTTATTTTTTTTAATTTATTTTTCAAGATCTATCACCTTCAGATTATCCAGTGGGGTCCCAGGACATCTGTGGCTCATTCTTCTTAAGACCATGGAGATAGCAGGGTTAAACATGGTTCTATAATAGTATCAAGAATTACATCTTTTATGTGGTAATAAAATATTATTCAGCCATAAAAAATAATGAAATTCTGTCATTTGCAGCAATATAGATGGAGCTGGAGAACATTATGTTAAGTGAAGTTCATCTGGCAGAGAAAGACAAATACTACATGTTCTTACTTATATGTGGAAGCTAAAATTTTATTTCAAAAAAGAAGAAAATAGTAACAACCAGAGCCTGAGATGGGTACAGGGTAGGAAAGGATGGAGAAAGGATGATTAATGAGTAGAGGTTCAGTTAGGTGACAGGAATAACCTCTGATGTTCTAATGGGATAACTGTGATTGACAACAATTAATTGAATATTTCAGAATAGCTTCTAGAGAGTATCTTGAATGTTCTTAACCCAAGGAAATTATAAATATCTGAGGTGACAGGTGTGCCAATTACCCTGATATTAGTATTACATACAGTGTATATGTATTGAAATGTCATATTGCACCCAACAAATATGTATAATTACTATGCATCAACTTGAAGTAAAAATATATTTTTTAAAAAATACATTTTTTTTAATTGTAGCAGATTTTGGTGTTGGAGAGTTGATCCTTGCAATAACTTAATCTCTGTTATGGTAGCAAAGATATATTAAATACTAGTGAGAATATGGAATCATTACTTTAATACCAAAGTAGAAATGCCTAATTTTTCTCTCTTAATATAATAGGTATATATTTTTTCCCAATGGGGGTGTGTGTGTGTGTGTGTGTATATATATATATATATATATATATATATATATATATATATATATTGTGTCACTTTACTACTGAATGTTTTCTAATCATTCTTTTATCTTCAAGTATACATATGCTCAAATAGAAAACTATTGAACTTTTCCTTGGTGTAAATAGATTCAGTGTTTGGATATGGTACCCATTTTATCTTATATGCATTTGCAGTTGATAAGACAATAATAACTTGTCCCCCTCCATGTTGCCTTTTATTAAAACAAATGAGTGAAATATAATTCAGAACCTTTTTTCATTCTATTGAATAATAACAAAGTGAAAAAAAGTAATGATACAGAAGGTATAACAGCTTTTTTTTTTTTTCATGTAATGTACAGGTAACTTTACTCCTAACAGTATTTGATGAAGATGATCAGTCTCAGGATGTTGTAAGATTGCATCAAGATGTTAATGATTATAACCGGAGATTCTCAGGGCACCCCAGATCTGTAAGTAACCTTATAGCAGGCATAAGGTTAGAGGGAACCATTATACTTTTTGTAAAGTGAGATTTACTGACAAGTATTCTTTGACTATGAAAAATTTCATTATGTGTGTTGGGTCAAGTTTTTACCTTCATCATTGTTAATCACTTAGATATAGCTTTTCCAAAGGCCACAAGTTTGCCTTCATAAATAACAAACAAAAAGTATCATAAATATCTTTATGAAAGAGAAACTAGCAAAAAAATAAAAGAGAAAGAAGAAAAATAATCAGAGAAACTAGAAAATTCTTCACCTCTATGGGAGTCTAAATCACAGTTTATCAGTGAAAACTTCTAGAGAGGATTTTACAATTGGATTTTATTCTATTTTATTTACCCTAGTCCCCTGTTTGATATGTTCCCTTAAATATCTCTAGGTTTCAAGTTTATGTGTCATCTTAGCTATTGTAAAACATTTATTTTTATTTTGTTTTTCAAAAACATAATATTTTTAAAGAACACATCAATTGTACAGGTAATTGCCTCTTCCCTCCAAAAAGCATTTGATAAATTAAAAATTTTTGCATTATACTGACTGATTCTGGTTTTCTCAAAATCTAACAAATGATTTTAGAAGTATGTATATGACTGAGTGTGTACTTCATAAACTAGCATGTACCAAGTGTGGATTTAAGTGGGAAGCCTAAACTTCTCTTCTGAGTGAGCTCCAGACTTTGTATGTCTAACTACTTAGCTGACATTTCTACCTGGATATTTCATAGGCATTTCAAACTTTACATGTGTAATATTAAAGTGATTTCCCTCCTTGACTCATTTTTTCTCAGTCTTGATTTCCTTTAACCTCCATTCTCCTGGTGTGATCTATAAGTCTCATTATTTCTTTTCCTTTTGGGGGTATCCTGTTACTTTTGCTTCATAACAGTGTCCTGACTCACCACTGATGTGATAATGCAAACCTGCAATCAGAGATACTTAGGAGGCTAAGGCAAGGAAGAGCGTAAGTTCAAGGCCAGCCTGGGCAACAGTTTTAGTCATCCTTTTTGCTGCTGCAACCAAAAGACCTGACAAGAACAATTTTAGAGGAGGAAAAGTTTATTTGGCATTCACAGTTTCAGAGCTTTCAGTCCACAAATACTTAGCTCCATTGCTCTGAGCCCTAAGTGAGGCAGAGCATCATGGCAGAAGAGTGTGGTCTCAGAAGAAAGCAGCTCAGAACATAGCACCAGGAAACAGAGAGAGCGAGGGACAGACAAGACAGAGACGCTACAGACTAGGGACAAAATATATACCCCAAAGCACACCCCAGTGACCCACCTCTTCTAGCCACATCCTATTTCTCTATCAGGAGATTAATGCACTGATTAGATTAAGATTCTTATAACCCAGTCATTTCACCTCTAAACCTTCTTGCATTGTCTCACACATGAGCATTTAACCTTTTTCTCATATCTAAACTATAAGAGCAATTTAGTGATACCCTGTCTCAAAACAAAAAGTGTGGGGGGTGCTGAGTTTGTAGTGCATGGCATAGCATCCCTGGTTTCATTCCCCACTTTACTTTTTTTTTTTTTTTTAAAGTCCTGTTTCTCTGAGTCACGTGCACCTATCATACTAGTGCAAGTCACCATCATCTTCTGCTTTGGATAACTGCAGAGGCCTCCTCACTTCTTTTTTCTCTGCTTAGCAGCCTAAATAGTTTGTTCAGATCATGGTGCCCTTGTGTTTTAAAACTTCCAATTTTGGGGGTATTGTTCCCACCCTTTCTGTGGTTTGAAAGGCCCTAGTTGAACTGGTCTTCCCTCTCTAATCTCTTATGCCACTTCTTTTCATTTACTGTGCTTCAGCAACATAAGCCTCCCCCTCAGCCCTCAGAATACACTCCAGGTTCTTCCCACTTTAAAACATTCACACATGACATTTCTTCTGCTTGAAATGCTTGTCCCTTCACTTTACCTATGGCTACCTTCTCATCCTTTGGATGAGAACGTAGATGAGAACTGTCTTAAATAAGCCACCCTCAGAGAGGCTTCCCCTGACCACCAACTGTATTCTCTAGTTTTGCCTTCTGTGCATTTTCTTCATGCCACTTATCACAAACAGTACTATAATCAGTGGGGCAAGGACTATGTCTATTTATTTACTACTATATTTCCAGTGCTATGTTCAGTGCCTGGGATGTAGATCCTTAATATTTGTGAGTAAACTGAGTTATCTTTATAAGAATTGATACTGTTGCTCCCAGCCAAAAATACTAAGCTATTAAAGTGGTTCTGTATTAAACAAATGTGTGCTTTTGTGCTCCCTTGTTCTTTGTTCTATCAGGTACCATTTTTTTTGGTGTTTAAACAATAAGAAAAACTAAATTTAAACATTGTTGTCCTTCATAATTATTTAGAAGCCCCTCTGCTACTTTGATCCAACATTTTTTTTAACATATCCTCAGGTATATCTATAGAATGATTCTTTGAAAATTCATCTTGTTTCAAATTCAAAATTATCACTGAACTTAAAAATCATTTTGATGGCTGGGGTTGTGGCTCAGTGGTAGAGCATTTGCCTAGCATGTGTGAGGCACTGGGGTTGGATTCTCAGCACCCATATAAATAAATGAATAAAATAAAGGTTCATCAACATCTAAAAAAATATTTTCAAAAATCGTTTTGAGATTTTTTAATTCAAATTTTTAAATGTGAAACATCATTGCTCATTATTTTTTATAGGAGTCAAATATTTAATGAAAAGACATGTTATATGATGAAGTTATAATAAAAAGAGTTAACTCTTTGATATTCTACCTCCTTCAAAGTTGGAGTTAAGATTATACTTGATATACAAATGTTTCTTATAAACTATTCCATATTTTTTGCCTAATTATTATAGATTTTGTATAAATGATGATACCACTTTAGAAGTGAACAAAATATCTCTGATAAAGAACAGAAAGATATTCAGAAGACATATTGGCTGGTCATGAGAATATTTAAAATATTTTACCATAGACTTTGTGAAAGTTATGTAGCTGTTTTTATTTATTTTTTTAAGTTTCTTCCATACCTAGAGAAAATTATCAAAGGAAGTCATTCTAAAAAGATCATTTCTGTTCTCCTGTGACTAGTTTTCCAAAAGCAGTGTAAGTAACAAGCTATCTAACTGAGTTTTTAAAACTATTTTCTCCTCACTCAGTTCTTTGCATTTCTCTTTCCTTTGTCCTCTCAACATATTTGGTACTTGCTAAATATATATGCAGAGTTAGATTTTTATACAAATCAAAATAACAGAACTGTAGGCAGAGGAATGAAGAGAAGTGATTTCACTGGAAGACATCAATTTCACAGCTATTCTTAAACAGCCTTCATATCTTTAATGTGTAATATTTAGGTGTTATCTGATAATTTACAGAGTTCATATACAGACTCTCTTTTAGTTCTTAGTAATCTTTGGGGATTACTTTTTTAAAATATATTTTTAGTTGTAGATGGACATTATAACTTTATTATGTGGTGCTGAGGATTGAACCCAGTAATGCATACATGCTAGGCAAGTGCTCTACCACTGTGACACAACCCCAGCCCAGCGATTACTCTTTTTTTCTTTTAATATATTTTCTTAGTTGTAGATGGACACAATACCTTTATTTATTTTTATGTGGTGCTGAGGATTGAACCCAGTACCTCACATGTGCAAGATGCACACTCTACTACTGAGCCACAACCCCAGCCCAGGGATTACTCTTAATTAATTACTAAATGTGCACTTAGCTGAATTATCTCTAGTAAGTTAAACAACTGTCCCCAAATTCACCAGGCTGATAAGTAATGGAATTCACACTGTAAAGCTGACACCCAAGCATAAGACTCAGACCAATCCAGTACACTGGTTTCTTGGTTTGGTTTATTTTACTAACTCAAAATAGAAATAACCTGAGTTTTGCATGACTGTAGGTTGAATATCCCTTATCTGAAATGCTCTGAAATCGAAAATCATTTTGGTGACAATGAAGAAGTTTTGGCTTTTGAAGTGAGTCAGATTTCAGAGCATTTTGGATTTTGGAGCATTTTGGATGTCACATTTTTAAATAAGGAATGTTCAACCTGTATATCCCATATTTTAAGCTTATTGACACTAGCTGTTTTTCTTCAATTAAGACCTATTTTATAAGAGCCCAGTAATTAGAGAATGATTTTTAAGTGAAACACATAATTAGAAAACATGGTATTCAATCATATGAAACTCCTTAATTCATTTTAACTGAGTTTGCACATTGTAAGAAAATTATATTATTTATTACCTTGTCATTTTAGATGCTAAATCTTAATATTTGTTTTTCCTTCTACCAGATTATGGAAAGAATCATGGATCTACCTACTTTACTGAGACATGCATTCAGGGAAATGTTTTCTGTTGGGGGTCTTTTCTGGATGTTCCGCATTAGGATAATACTTTGTTTGATGGGAGCTTTTTTCTATCTAATATCACCTCTAGATTTTGTACCTGAAGCCTTGTTTGGAATTCTAGGCTTTCTAGATGATTTCTTTGTCATCTTCTTGTTGCTTATATACATCTCTATTATGTATCGAGAAGTAATAACCCAAAGACTAACAAGATGAAAAATTTTAAAAAACAGAGTTTACTAGAATTTGAGCTAATGTACAAACAAAAGGACCTAAGGCAGTGTAAATCATCCAAATATTATCTTACAAGTTTAAAAACCATTGTATGACAAACATTTGATTATCATTTGACAAATGCTTAGCAATGTATAACTGGAATTTTTACATGTTGCAGGTTCTAATGTTGAGATCTTAATTATGGTCTATAGTTGTTATCTTGATACTATGTTGTCTATAAAGTCTCTGGGAAAATATGGAATTAGATTTAAAAAAGGTGGGGGGAGATACCTGATATCTTTTTTCCCAAAATTACTTATGTTAATTGGATATACAGTACAATTTGTCAAATGTACAATCTATCCAATTTATCCTCCTCAGTGGGTACTCATACAATAATATGTAGCTATGAAACTAATTATTTTGTTACAATAAAATATCCTACAATAGTGGAGGAAAGTCAGCATTTCTTTTAGTGCAAGCTTTGTGCATTTAGACCAGTTCCGCTTTTCCATTCTGGTATAATTCTTTGTTATCAGCTAAAACTGAAAGAAACTTGAACTTTATAATTTCCCATATTTTGGTTTATGGAACACTTTTTAATCAATAGAAGAATTAACAAGATGAGAAATATTTGTTTCTAGTCAGCACACTTGATGGTCACAGAACATTTAAACAAGAGTTTGGTCATTTTTAGGAATAAATATAAAGATAACTTGTAAAGGGAAAATTACTTTAGGAACCAGATGATCCTGAAAACACATAGTTTTATTCATTTCTCAGGAAACTGGATCTTCTTGTCTATTAGCATCAAAGACCTTAGGAAAGTACTAGGAATATACTAACCATCTTTGGTTAGCCCTAGCAACAGAATGGAAAAACTTAGTTGTCTGCTGTCAGAAATTTTTATAACGCTGTCACCTACATAGCAGCATATAGCCCAGATTCACCATCTCTTGTGCAGAATTAGCAAATATGAAGTGACTGGATAGGGAAGTTCTCTTATTTTTTTTTTCTTTCTGATAGCTATGGCATGAGTATCTAATGCTCTTGTCTGCAGTTTTGTTTGGTAAGAGTCATACCACAAAGTATTACAAGATCCTTACTTCAGCTCTCATCATTCATAACCTGATGTCAGTTGATGATCAGGAGTGAGTGTTACCTTTGTCATGTGCAGTCACTAATATTATCCTTTAATTTTAGTAAGCATGTGTATGCATAGGGAGATAAAAACCTGTCACATTCTCCCAAGTTAATCAGATTAGCCATTAAATGATAAGATTCTGAATGAAATTTCAATTAGTGTTTTCTAATTAATTTGGACCCTAGGACAAAGCTGTTGCTTGTCACAGAAACAGTAGTACTCAGACATAGCACATGATTAAAGCAATTTCTCACACTTTCATTTTATCCTTAGGGAAATTTTATGAGAAAGGCAGGGTATCATCTTACTTTACAAAGAGAAAATCCCATGCTATTGACTGACGTTACTATTTTGCCTGAAGTTTTGCAGCAAATAAGTGAATGAATTGGTCGATATTTAGACATGAAGACTATTTTGAAGAGGAGAAATCAGGAGAAAAACAGGATCCTTTGGAAGTCTTTCATAATATATTAATTCTTCACTGAAGTGAGATAAGTGCTCCCAAGAGGAAAGGTCTAAAAAGATGACACATCAAAGACTTCATGAAAATTCTATATTTCCAAATCAAATGTCCAAGAAAGTAGCAATATATCATAGAAGAACATTTCAGCTCAATCACCAACTTGGGAAGCTAATGAGTAGGAGTTTGTTATATCAGACTGGAAATGCATTTCCTACCTATTATAAATTTGGTGTGGGGCATTAGCAGTGTCATCTTATGAAAGGATTTTACTTTCTGTGCATGTGTTTTGTTTCCAAGTGTCACATTTCTGGTTACAATAATTTTATTGTAATATTTGGAATTATTACTTTCTTGGTAGAGATGTAGTATACCAAATTTTTCTACATACAAAAACACCGTATGATCTGAAGTAATTATTAAACTGAAAAGGGAACGTGCTGACATTTTTAGACCTGCTTATTATGTCATCTTTACCGATCATAGATGACAAAAACAGAAGGGATCCAAGAGAGTATTTAAAGCAAGTAGACGTAATCAGTGTTTTAAACATTGTAGTAATACTTCTGTGATTCACAGTTAGATCAAATAAATCAAAGCAACAATTTAAAAATAAAAATATTTTTAAACAATATTATAACTCACAAAAACAGATGGTCCAACCCCAGGAGCAGATCACATCTTGGGCAGCTCTGTGGGGAATAAGACAGGGGAAACAACTGTTCTAACAGCCCACTAGAATAGTGGTTTCAATTCATACAGTTCTCAGTGTTTGAGAGGAACAAGGGCAGAAAGGACTTGTACTGATCCCTTGTGACTATGCAGATACCTACCTCACAGAGTTGGTATAGAGTATTGGTGGTTTGATTAAAACTTCGTGATTTTAGAGTTTGTCAAGTGTTTTATTGTTTTGAATAAAAGCAGCATATCTAAAATTGTTTAAAAGGTGTACTCTTTCCATTTCTTTAACATCATCTGCTTTAAAACTTAACTCTTTTAAGCATTGATTATAATGGTTGCTATGGCTTTTTAAAAATATTTTCCATATATATTAGATCCCATACATCACTGTGCACATTTTATTTTTGTACATAAACATTCTTCTATGGGGTTATGTCCAAAACAATGTGTAGTGTTACAGCAGCAATTTAAAGCATTTATCAATGTTAATTTCGAATACATGATTTTTTTCTTTTCAGTATAGACTTTAGAACTTAACACCTGTCTTAAGAGGCAACTCAACTTTTTATGTATGAAATACAAAAAGGGAAAATTTTCCCCCTTCATAAATTTAACTTCTTTTGAACTAACAATAACTTTTCATCTTTACAGTGCAATGTTTCAGTACAATTATACATTGTGTAATCAATTCAGTATCTTTAGGTTATATATCTGAAACATTTAGCGTCTCTTTGCAAACATTCAAACTCCTCCCCTAGCTACTTTGAATTATATAATAAAAATATTAAGTGATAATCCTATGTAATGGAATAATCTGTCCCCATCAGCTCCCCACACTTAGCTGTGGATAACCACTCTGTGATGGCTTTATCTCTAGTGGACATCAAACATCTCATCACATTTTGAATTAATTTTATTTAGACGTTTTTAAATTGAAAAAGTAAAAAGGTATTTTTTTAAATACTTTATCTAGGCAATCTATTAATTCTGGGCAAAAATGGAGTATAGATTTAAATAAACCTATATGCTGATTTTCCTATACACTGACTACCCACCTCCATTTCTTTTCATTGTATATTTAAGTCATATATTCAATAACTGAAATTTTCTGAGTCTATGCCCTCATGTCTACAACACCACCACTCCCACCACCATCACTACTAAATGTACTCTAGGTTCTCTGTTTTGCTAAAGAGCAACTAATAAACCTGGACTTGGAGAAACAAGAGGAACTTAAGGCTTTTAGGCCCTTAACAATCTCCCAGGATCAGGCCAATAGATTTAAGAGCTACTAACAGGAGGTAGTACTCTCAAAAGATATCCTTAAGCTTTTGTTACTGTCAGAATACTCTAATGGCATCAGTATTTGTTGTAAGCATTCAGTCCTTGACTGTACACAAATAAGGGGTGTCATCTTCATCCATCTGTGTCTTGTGACATGACTATGTCCTAGAATGATACACGAGAGGAGTAAGTGCTCCATTAGAAAACACAGTATGTTCAGTCAAGATCCTTCCTAGTGTTGACTCTATTCTCTAGGCCTCTTGAGAAAATATGTGATGGAAGAGAGTTAAGGGCTAAGGATATTTCAAAGTCACTGATACTGATATCAGTTTAAATTTCAACTAGTTTTTAAACAATTTAAAGAAAAAATATAAAAAATACTTAGATTAAAATAGCAAAACTTTGATAATTCTTATGTGAAACAGAATTTTTATCTACCCAAATATTATACTAATCTTTGTTTTACTAATCTTCCAACATTAGAGCTGTAAGGGTTTTTACAAACTAGCTTCCCCCCCCTTTTTAATATTTTTTAAGTTGTCAATGGATCTTTTATTTATTTATATGTGGCACTGAGGAGTGAACCCATGGCTTCACACATGCCAGGCAAGTGCACTACCACTGAGCCACAACTGGCTAGCTTTTTCTAGTGTTCTCTTTTGAAAATCAGGTGAATAGTATGAATAGCTCACCAGAAAAACCTGGTGTATGAGGATGGCCTGCCACAGGTGCAAGGTACCCAAAGAAAAAGGGAAGACATATACAGGACTGCACGTAGCACAATCAGTGATCTAGGGGCAAAAGCATGTCTTTGGTAGCAGCAGTAGACAGATCCCTGCACCCCAAGGAAGGAAAAAGGGAATGTACTTGGGCTATTAAAAACTATTAACATATTAAGTGTTGGTAAGAAACAAAATGGGGGCTGGAGCTTTAGCTCAGTGGCAGAGTGCTTGGGTGAGGCACTGGGTTTGATCCTCAGCACCACATAAAATAAATAAAATAAAGCCATGCTGTCCACACCCAACTACAAAAAAGTAAAATAAAAAATAGAAACAAACAGTTTGGGCATCAGTAGCCAGTACAAAACACTAGGCTAAATATCTCAACAGCTATCATGTAGGGTTTGAACCGTGTGCAGGGTCATCTGAAAGCAAAATGACAGTTATGATCAAGATGGCTGTCATGTCAAGCTAGATCCTCAAACATATGTATAATTTTGCATTAATTTTCAGGGGTTTCAAGGCCTGACTATTCATGGATTCCAGATTTAAACTTCCTCATTTAGTACCACAATCTTATCTCTACAGATGGAAAAAAGAGGCACAGAGAGCCTGAATGCTGTATCAAAAACACCATAGAGTGGATGGTTTAGTGCAATGTCAGGGTACCAGCATGGCTGGATTCTGGTGAGGGCCCACTTCTTGTTGTATCCTCACATGACATAGAGGGACCGCCTCATTCATGAGGTCTCCACCCTCATTACCCACATACCTCTGAGGGTCATGTCGCAAGCCTAGACTGACATTGCTTTTCTGATCTGTCCTTTTTGATCGCTCTGCCTATGATCCCCACATAGCACCTGAGATGGGTCTGGCTTTCCAAGATGTCAGTCTGCTAAACAGAAGACATCACTAAGCAACCCCCTGCAATCCAATCTCTTGCCTTATTTGGGTTGAACTTTCTTGAATGTCTTCCCCACAAATAAATAGGAGAGTTTCAGGCATGCTTTTCTCTTTTGCCTGCCTCTCTTGCCTCCTTTGTGGGAGCTGGGGTCAAGAAGCCATCACTGAACCCCAAAAAAGGTATTTTCTGTCTCTGTGTAGTTATTTAGTAGCCAGCCCAATTCACGTGGAGTGATCCCAACTGATTCATTCACGTGTTGCAGCAGACCCCACCTCTAAATATCACCATATTGGGGATTAGGCTTCAACATGTGAATTTTGGGGGAACACATTCAGTCCATAGCAGTTGGATAAAAATTATTTTCCTTCAGCTGGGTGTGGTGGCACATGCCTGTCATCCCAGCGCTGGGGACGCTGAGGCAGGAGGATCACAAGTTCAGAGTCTTCAGCAACTTAGCGAGACCCTGTCTCAAAAAAATATAAATTTTTTTTCTTCAGATTGAACTTATCTATAATAAATGTGAAAAAAACTTAGCCTTTTAATATCATGGGTTCTCTTTTTTCCTAAAAGGCATCCTATTAGTAAATGAATTCAGCTCTTGGCCTTTTAAGACAAAAAACATAAGAATTCTAACTAGCTTTCTTTAGTTTATTCCTATTTATTTTCTTGCCCTTAAATGGCAATGATATATAAAGCTAAGACATACGTTCATATCTGATATTTATTGAAGGATCAAATGAAGAGATCAAATGAATGTATAAACAAATTTTGCATGTTTTATACAGTCCTTTAATAAGCTGTTTTATTAAGAATAACAAATTCAAAAAAATGTTTAAATCATGAGGGTCAATGATGAATTAGTTAACAAGCTATCTGGCCATCTTCATTGCCTCTTTCCCCAGAAGTAAACTTTCCTGACTATAGTTTTACCCACATATTTTTTTTCTTGTGTGTCTAGCTTCAACATTATATATGTAAGAATCACCCACATTGTTGTGGGTTGAAGCTTATTTTGATTGTTGTACAGTATTCCATGTGGGCCGTCCTACAATTTATTCATTCCAATGTTAATGGACATTTGGTCTGTTTCCACCAACTTATTTAAAAGGCAGGACAATCATCTTAAAAAGTAAAAATGCCTCCCCACTGTACCCCTTGAGTACTAAGAAGTTATAAGAAACAGGTATTTGATCTATGTTTTATTAAAAAAAAAATCAATATTCAGTTCAATTCAACAAATATTTCTAAAATTATATACAATTCAAGATATCCATAAACTCACCTTACTTTTTTAGAATTATCCTCAACAGAATAAAACTGTATTTAATTTTCAAGTTATGGATAGATAGAAGATAGAAAATAAGAATAGAGAATGAAGAAAACTTGACTGAGGGAAATGCAATCAAACAGTAACCAAATTGTTTTGTTTCACTCTAGACTAATCACAAAACTCATCCTCCACACTGGCTGTGGTCCTTGTGCCCTTTTCAGTGGCAGGCACTCTCAACTTCTACAACTGCCTGTTACTTTCTCTTCTGATATTCCCCAGGCCTACAACTCCCACAGCCAATTACTCAGTTTCTTAAATCATTCCTCCCCAAGTTCTGTATTTTTTCCCATTAAAAATCCATTTGCAACTCAAAAGAATTGCTTTTGCATCACCATCCATCCATCTTAAAGCTCAAGCCAAATGCTCAAACTAGAAACTCAAGATCATCACCCTTGATATCTTGATTCCTCTCTTCCTAACTCTGATAACCATCAATCGGCAAGCATTTCTGACACGTACAAATATCTCAAATCCCACCACTATATCTCCTTTGCCTTGATGCAAGTTACTACCATCTCTTGCTCACCTGCAACAACCTCTTAGTTGGTCAGCTCACTCATACTGTTGTCCCTAACTCTTCTCACAATGGACAGAGTAACTTCTTCTTTTTTTTTTCTTTTTGGTACTTGGGATTGAAGTCTGGGGCACTCAACTACTGAGCCACATCCCCAGCCCTATTTTGTATTTTATTTAGAGACAGGGTCTCACTGAGTTGCTTAGCGCCTCGCCATTGCTGAGGCTGGCTTTGAACTCACTATCTTCCTGTCTCTACCTCCAAGCTGGAGCCACTGGGATTACAGGCATGTGCCACTGCTTGGCCAGAGTGATCTTTTTTTTTAAATGCTTATTAGATCACATGTCTCCTCTGCCTAAAAATAATTTAGTGGTTTCCCATTGCACTTAATATCCAAACAAATAACCTTACTTTATCCCATCCTCCCCACTGGCCTTACCACCACAGCCTCTCTATTTGGTTCCCAGTAAACAGAACTCTTGACTGTCAGTACTACCAGAACCAAATCAGGGTCTCAGCACACACTTCCTAAGCCTAGAATGCTCCCTCTATCCTCCTCACCTTCATGCTTTTACTCATTTCATCCTCTGGTTCTCAGGTTAAATGTCCCTCCTCACACAGATTACCCTAGTTAAAGTAGGTAGTGACCCTCATCACCCCTCCCTTTATTCATTCTTAAAACATTCTGATGTATTCAAACACCCTAACACAATGTTATTTTATTTACATTTTTGTTGTGTCTTCTCACTAGAATATAAGCTCTATGAACATGGGGACTATGATAGCTTTCCTCACTAATACATTCCCAGACATAGCATAATGCCTATATCATAGTAGGTGCTCAATAAATAAAGATTAATAAATAAAAGAAAAACCACGAAGAGACAAGGAAACACTACTTTACTCCTTTACTGCTACCACTCACATCTAAGCCACCATCATCTCTCACCTATGTTACCACAAATGTCAGTCTTCCAGCCTCTAAGTTGCTCCCCTCCTATCTACATGAATACAGCAGAATGATCTTCTCCCTGTTCAAAAGTTTACCTTGGGTCTAGGTGTATAGCTCAATAGTATAAGTGCCAGCTTAGCCTGTATAGGATCCTTTCCTCAATTCCCAAACCCACCAAAAAAAGAAAAAAATAAGATAAAGCCTATTTTCCTCAGAGAAAAGTTCAAAATCCTTGCACCAGCCTATAAGGCCCTACATGCTTCTGTCCCCTTTCCTCTTCCATAATTTTATCCATTATTTGTTCCCTCATCTCAGCTCTACTCCAGATACACAAACCCCTTCTGTTCTTTGAACAAGCCAAGAACACTGAGCCTCAGGAGCTTTTCCTTACCCATTCCCTTGGACTGCAAGGTTACTTTCCAACCCAGATATCCTCCTAGCTAACTCACACCAGTTTCAAATCTTTGCTCAACAGTCACTTCCTTATTAGGCCTTTTTCCATGTATTTGAAGTTGCAGCCCTCTCAGCCCAACCCCACACCTTTCACATTGTAACATATTATGTGGTCACATGTTTCCCCTTACTCCACGTAGACTATTAGCTCCATAGGGTAGAAATCATTGTCCTATTACTTATATATTCCAAGCTTCTAGAACTGTGCATAAAACACAGATGTTCAAATTTATTAATTAACTGATGAAGAATTTCAGTGAACTCAAGTTAAAGTTTCAGATCATCATCTATTATCACATTCTGTTATTCTTGCACAGTGGATCACTATGCAATAATAAGATTACCATCTGTCTCAATACTTCAGGAAATGATAGCAATAAAAACTATTATTCTAGTATTATGGCTCCAAAAACTATTTAAGATACACAGCTTAATTTAGATACATGTGATTAAACATTGTTTTCAGAATAATTTAAGGCAGACACTATAAAATCTTGGGGTTACAGGCTGGGTTAGACTCAATACCTATTCTCAACAGCATCTCAGTTCTGATGAGGAAGACAACATAAACATTAAAATGTGGTTCCAAAGTGTTTACAGAAGTTAATACAAAATTTCACTGGAATAAGAGAAATGCGTTAGTTGGAGAGGGCAGGAAGAGAGGATAAAGAAAGTTTGTTGGAGCAGATAACACTTGGGCCATATCTTAAAAGTGATCATGGAAAGGCATTTCTGACCAAGTAAAAGATCCTATTTTAAAGAAGTCAAAAAAGATAAAACATAAAGCTATATATAAGAGTGTTTAAAGACAAGTAGAGGAAGGTGGCAGTAAAGTAAAAGTACTTGCTCCTAAAGGGGTGTACAGCTTACCATAAATAGTATGGATTTTATTCAGAAGAAAAGTGAAAGGGCTCACAGATTTGAAATTAGTGTGAGTTAGCTAGGAGGATATCTGGGGAAAGTACCTTGCAGTCCAAGGGAATGGATAAGGAAAAGCTCTGAAGGATACATGTACAGGCGTGATAATCAAGTTTCTATGGATGATATATTGGTGAGAGGCAAAGCTGGACATCAGGATAATCAAAGGGTGGCAGCAAGGTAAATAACAGAAAGGGCTGGTCAGGAATACCATGAGAGATGGAAAGAGATTTAAGAGATTCATTTTATTTTACAAAATCAACCTAGTCCTCAGAGGTTGGGGTGATGGGAGAGGCACATCCTAGATGATTCCAAAGTTTCTGATTTAGGCAGCTAAACAAATAACTCAACAGACATAATTCAGAAGGGAGATTTACGTAGGAAATTTAAAAAAAAAAACAAAAAAACCTAGGACATCATGGCATTTCACTGAATTTAAGGAGCAAGGTATTTAGAATTGGAGAGGACCAGAAGATGGAACCCTAAGGGAAACATTAACATTTAAGAGAGCTGAAAAGTGTATTACAAGAGCCATTTAACAGTCCGTTTTCCAGACTTAGATCTACATAAAAGAGAGAAAGAAGGAACCAGGAGGTGAAACCTCTATGTGAAATAGCTCCAGCAGCTTGTAATTTCCATCAGAACACAAGGAGATCACAGCACAGAATGGCCAGCAAAGAGCGTTTCTGCCTCGGGAGCTGAGAAGATACAGCATGTGTAGGTCCTCTTTCACTGCTACAAATCGGTCACCTGGGCTCTCACAGAGCGCTGTGTTGCCTGAACAGACAGGGAATGGGATAAAGATCAGCAGTCTGGGAAAGGGGTCTGAAAAGTTTTACAAATCAATAGTCTCCCACTCACTTTTTAAAGAAATGGGTGTTTTACACGTGTTTTCTGTAGCCCACCAGATACAACAGGCCGTACTTGATCTCCACTGTAAGCCGCCTCAATAAAAGGATAAATTAACCCACCACCCAAGGCGGAAGTCGGAACCGGGACACCGCCCATTTCCCGCCTCCTTCCCCCACAAATCCCTCCCTCCCTGCGAAAGCTCTGAAGCCCCGCCCACTTCCGTAACGCAGCACAGGCCGCAGGTCACGCCGGGCCTCAGCCAATGTTCTGCCTCCCAGGAAACGTTACCTCTGACCGCTGGGCTAATCAGAGACAGTGGGACGAACTCCTCGCGAGAGGTGAGGTTGAAGCTGCCTCCGCCATCTTGGAGATGGGAGACGGGCGATGGCTGTGGTCCTTCTGCTAATGCAAACAACAAAACAGGCACAGTAGTCGCCCCAGAGTGAGGTTTTCATCATTGTTAACTATTGACCAAAACTACAGAAGAAGCGAGAGTGTCAAAACCGAGCTCAGCGACACTGTGAGCCCTTTCACTTTTCTTCTGGGTCGGCTTAAGTGAAGTGACTGAGGACCGGAAGGATGGTGCAGTCCTGCTCCGCCTACGGCTGCAAGAACCGATATGATAAGGATAAACCTGTTTCTTTCCACAAGTATGGAACCAGAGCGTCTCGCGGACCGGTCCCAGCTGGGGTTGGGGGCGCGCGGCCGGTTGGGCTGGGGGCGGAGCTAGGCGCGTGTCCGCGCGAGACCTGACGAGAGGGGCGGGGCACGGGATTCCGGGCTACGGGCTCCGTAGGGGTCTCCCGGCCCTATCGTGGTGGGCGTGCCTGAGTTGGGGATACTTTAGGAGACCACAGCAGCGCGCTCTAGGGTATATTGCCGAGGCGGCCATTTGCGCTCTCGGAAGGGCTCCTGGCTGCAAAGCTCTCACTTTTCTGGGCCTGGCGAGCTCGCTACCGCGAGCGATTTCTGCCGGCCGCTCAGGGGCTCGGGGCTTGGTCTTGCAAGAGTCGTGGAGCAGCCAGAATAAATCCCTAAGGCCCAAACTTCAAATAGAAACAAAGACCTTTAAAAACACCAAGAAGTCGCAATATTCTTATCTCCGCTGATTCGGAGGCTTGCATTATAGTAATTAATGATTGAATTTTGGCCAGGATATCAGGATTTTTTTTTTTTTTACACAATTTCCAGGAATTACCCTTTAAGGGTCTCTAGGTTTTAAAGGAAGCCTCTGGTGCAGCCATGGAGTTGTTATCTTTCAGCACACAGTAATGATAATATAGACAATACTCAGGTGCCGTAATAAAGGTCAATGTGAGCTATTACAGATCTGCTCCACAGCTTTCAGGGCTATTTTATCCTCTAGTTTCCGCAGCTAACCAGCTGTAGTGGAGAATATTTTCTTGAAAATAGGAAAAGAAAATTGCAAGATTGAAATTAACCGGCTGGGGATATAGCTCAGTGCTTGCCTAGCATGCCCAAGGCCCTGGGTTCAATCCCCAACATCATTTAAAAAAAAAAAAGAAAAAAAGATTGAAATTAACGATAATCAAGTAATGCACACAGTGTTTTCAATCAGCCAAATTCAGTGTTTACAAATTTTATTATATTTCCATCATGATTTCTCTGCCAGAATGCCTGACGATATGAAAGTGATAGCTAAGAAGTCAGATCCAATGGTAAATTATACAAGTGTTTCATAACCAAATAGTACGAAAGCAGATTTTAAAATATTCTTTCAAAAATTTTTATGAGGAATTATTTATGTGTGATAGGGGGTTTGGATGCATATTTATATGTTTTATGTAACTTGAACTGCACCACAGGCAAATAAAACTGCATGGAGCATAAAGAGATCTTCGGAGTGTTTACTTTTCCCCATGGAGAAGGGGTTGGCCCATTATGACATTCAGTTCAGTATATCCTAATATTATGTACATAATTGGTGTTTTTGTAATTTTTGAAAATGATGTCCTTTCAGGGTGTAGGAATAGGTCCGGAGATGACAGGAATATGCATTTGGCTCTCCACCTTCCCATCCCTCATTTCTAATAACAGGTAGAAAAAAATCTAAAAGTATGGAAAATAGTTGAGAATAACATAACACTTACCAGAAATACTGTGTTCCTGTTAGATCTTTAAAAGATTAAGCCTGAGCACTGTAGTGCACATCTATAATCCCAACAACTCTAGAGCCTGAAGCAGGAGAATAGCAAGTTTGAGAGCAACCTGAGCAATTTAGGGAGATCCTGTATTTAATGTAGAACAGTTTGGGGGCAAGTAGATGGGAAAGATCTTCATAGATTCTCACAGCTAAAATTGTAATCCTTGGGCCAGGAGGCCCTGTGTATTGAATTTTACAAGTGATTGCTACCTTAGTTTGTACGTCTGACCATCATTTCCAGCAGGGATTTTCAAAGAGCACCTCTTCTCCCAGCTTCTAAATAGTAGCAGAGAGAGAGCTTGCTGTGCCAAGAAAAGGGACTCTTGGATAGATTTGTTAGATCTTTGTGATTATAGCACAAATTTTAGCATACCTTAGTTGGAAGAGAAACTGAAATAGATTTGAAACATCTTGTTTTGACTTTTTTTCCTAATCCTTCCAAATTCTATCTCCTTTTACTTGGGCCTAATGGACATATCCCAGTTGAGTTAGAGATAAATAAAATAAATAATTTCCTTTTTTTTTTTTTTATCATTATCTGCCTATAATTTGATTAGTTCAAATTTAGCCTATCATATTTTTCAGTCAGAGTGATTATACTAGAACTAGAAGTCTCTTTTCCCCTAGGACAGTAGATGTGTATATACCATTTTTGTTTTTATATGCAACACACAGAAATTTATTAGTAAAAAATATATAAGTACAGTTTCATTCTATAGGATATATTTTACTTGAACCTTTTTTGTCTTTAATATAGAAAGTTAAACATTAATCAAGGAGATAAATATGTAAGTGGAGCTAATCTTTAATCAAGTACTCTTTAGTATGTCAAGACCAATGTAAGATAGTTCTTTACTAAGTAAGAAAGTTTGGGTGCCTTTATTTGTTTATTTTTAAAAAGGTTAGAGAACTGAATTATGTCTTCTTAGGTTTCCTCTTACTCGACCCAGTCTTTGTGAAAAATGGGAGGCAGCTGTCAGAAGAAAAAACTTTAAGCCCACCAAGTACAGCAGTATTTGTTCAGAACATTTTACTCCAGACTGCTTTAAGAGGGAGTGCAACAACAAGTTACTGAAAGAGAATGCTGTACCCACAATATTTCTTTGTACTGAGCCACATGACAAGGTAATATGTATTTCAAAATGTTGAGCTGTCTTGTATTTATAAAATTAATGTGTTTAATGTATTCATTGTGGAAAATTTGGAAAACTTAGGGAACAGTTAACAGATGTAGCTAGAACCTATTGCTTGTAAATAACCACTATTAACAGTGACATACTTTTTAAAAAACACAAAATGGAGTTTATTAAATATCCTCACCCTAAGGAATTCAATCTAACTTTGTGACTTACTTAAAGATCACTCTAGGGGCTGGGGTTGTGGCTTAGTGGTAGAGCATTTGCCTAGCATATGTGAGGCCCTGGGCACCACATATAAATAAAATAAAGGTCCATTTACAACTAAAATAAATATATACATTAAAAAATACATCACTCTATGCCTCTACTTGTATGTTGATAAGTTTGGGGTTATCTTTCTCAGTGACAGTTTAGTTTTAAGTTATTATCTGTTGTCTGCATCCCACTTCAATTTTAAGTAGTAAAAATTGAAGCTCTGTTCTTATTTTGGAATGTTTTTGTACCACTGAGTCACAGAAGTCTAGTATTTCCAAAATTCCACAGTTTAACTCATTTAAGCTATTATTTTTAGTTACTAAATTCACATATGATCTGCATTTTTGTTTTAGAAGGAAGATCTTCTGGAGCCACAAGAACACCTTCCCCCACCTCCTTTAACACCTCCCATTTCCCAGGTCGATGCTGCTATTGGGTTACTGATGCCTCCACTTCAAACCCCTGATAATCTCTCAGTTTTCTGTGACCACAACTATACTGTGGAGGATACAATGCACCAGAGGAAAAGGATTCATCAGCTAGAACAACAAGTTGAAAAGCTCAGGAAGAAGCTCAAGACTGCCCAGCAGCGATGCAGAAGACAAGAACGACAGCTTGAAAAACTAAAGGAGGTTGTACACTTCCAGAAAGAGAAAGATGACATATCAGAAAGAGGCTATGTGATTCTACCAAATGACTTCTTTGAAATAGTTGAAGTACCAGCATAAAAAAAAAAAATGAAATGTGTATTGATTTTTAATGGGGCAAGACCACACATCCTCTTTTAGCTTATATAGGCGTTTCATTTGGGGAAAAAAAGCACTTGATTACTTGTATAAAAACAATTCAGAATATTTTTTTAAAAAATAAATTAGATATATACTGTAAAATTGTAAATTTTTGTTTGTAATTTCAGAGTTTTTACATTAAAAACAATATTTTAAAAGTTATTTTAAAAAGCCTTAGACTGCCATTGTAAGTTGGTTTCAAGATTGGAGATTTTGTTTGAATATTTATAGAAATAATGTAAAAATGAAAAGCACAGAGAGTGAGAACAGTGAAGTAAAGATAAGATTTAAGTTTCAATTTTAAAAATTAATGCTTTTTATTGAAAAAACTTAGTTATATTTTAAATCAGGAGTATGGATTAGATTGTAGGGTATAACCTGTCTGTGTATTCAAACATTCACATCCGTAAAATCAGAAGGTTCATTTATCTTTCTGAATCACTTGTCAAGGATAAATTGGCAAATCAATTGAAAAAGATTTGACTGTCTTTAGAACAGAAAATAAAGAATCATTCTGTATCTAATCAATAAATATAAAGGTGAGTTTTTAAAAAATGAACCCTTTCATTTTTCCCTAGCATTATAAAATCGAATATATTCTCAGGTAGAGAAACATTTTTTTTTTTCTTGGTACCAGGGATTGGACCCAGGGGTGCTTAACCATCAAGCCACATCTTCAGCTCCCTCCCCCATTTTTTTTTTTTTTTTTTTAATTTTGAGACAGAGTCTTACTACATTGCTTAGGGCCCTGCTAAACTGCTGAGCCTGGCTTTGAACTTGCAATCCTCCTGCCTCAGCCTACAGAGCTGCTGGGATTGCATACATGGGCTGCAGTGCCCAATTTTGGAAGAAACATTCTTTAACAACAAAGTAAGGCATTTGTTACCATTGAAGTAAAAATTGGGACCTGACCCTTGATGAAAGGATACCCAATTCCCTAACCGTAATTATATCTTCATCCAAATGTCTTACCAAATATGTTCTGTTGATAGTTTGATTTGTATAATGACATGGTACTCTTGTGTTTAACTAATTGATTTTGGTCCAGACTTCACATAAAAAATTAGTTTTTCACTTGTAACATGTTAGAAATTATATCCCACCTACTTAAATGAATGATTTATATTCAAAAGCAACCTAATACGTAATGTTTATTTTACTAAATGTTGAGATTTACTGCAGTTTCTGCTCAAACTGTGAGTTGTATTCTAATTTTGTGAGAAATTTTACATATATTTGAAATGAAAACATGTTCTGAGTACAAAATATTGCTGTAGAAATTATTTAGATTTAGAATAATTATTCCAACTAAAATTATCACTTTTATACTTAAAGATACACTGAGATAGTTGAAGAGTAACAGACTTTTTTTTTTTTTAAGACAATAGTAAGAGATAAAACAAGGATGTTAAAAAGTGTTTTTTATAGAACTGATTTTTATTGTTATTCACTGCCATGCTACCTGTAGGTAGCAGTTTGATTCATGGAGATTTGATTCTTTGTGAACCAATATCTCAAAAATAGAAAATAATGTTTAGATTACTTACATAGTCTGATAACAATATTTAGGACTGCAATGAATGAGAGCACGTTCATTGGTTTCTGATGGAACGCAACCGTTTTTTAGAAGCTTCAAAGTCTTCAAATAGTTTGTTTTCATATTTCATCTCTAGCAATTCCTGGAAAACTGGGTAAATATTTTTTCAAAGTGTGTATCTTTAACCTAAATTGTCTTCTACATAAAAGACTGTGTGTGTGTATTTGTCCAAAACCAAGAATCTAGGTTAGATTATAAATGTGGTAATCATAATTATTTAGCGTTATTTAATTTGAAGCTGTTGTCTTTATGACAGATGTAAATCCCCATTTGTATCTAACTGAGTAAGCAACACATGTACCAACAGCTTGTATTTACATGTTTGAAATGTACATGCTTATTTCTGAATTTGAGGTGGAACAATTTAACATCTTGTTGATTTTTCTTTTTCTTTTTTTTTTTTTTTTGTTTTGTTTTGTTCCCCACCCCCCCTTTCTGGGAATGAATTTAAATTTACCATTGCTGATTGCAAATTTGCAGTTCTCCTACCATGGCCTCATAGTAGCTGGGATTACAGGAGTGTGCCATTGTGCCTGATTTGTTGAATGTTTTTAAAATTCATTTTATCTATTGTTTATAACATTTCCAAGAAAAGTAAAACATTTAGGCTAAAATAAGTCCTGGTCAAGTATAGTGGAACTCAGTCTGAAAAAAAGTAGGGAAAAAGTCAGTCTGAAATGGGGAGAAAAGAAATGTGAATTGCAGCGTATTCTGAAAGTTGAAATTTAAGTGCGTATAGTAAAATACTAAAATATCCATTTATGTGTGACAATTTGGAAGAAATAGCAAGAAGCAGTTGTTTCTCAGAACTGCTGGGAGACATGGAAAATCTCACAGGGCTTTAGAGTCAAAGTAGTGTAGAAATTCTTGAAGACTCATCATCAAACCCTGTATGATTCCCTTTTATAACATCTTTGGTAAGTGGTGATCCTTTCTCTGTTCACTTTTAAGCAAATATTCTGCTTAAATTCTTTAAAATAGGTTTCTAGATAAAAATAGAATCAGTTGCCACTCTAATTAAAGAAGTATTTCTTTATGGAACTATAAACTTTACTTTGACCTCCTACTTAGTTTGAACTGTCACATTCTAAAATTGAAGTCTTGAATTAAAAAAGAATTTAAGTGTATACTGATCTTATACCTGTTGTGTGTTCTTAATAATTTTGCCATTGTGGTAAGAGCATAGCAGCAAACATTGAGTAGGCAAATAACAATGATACAAAATATATCTATAAAAATTATGTATCAATTGTTTTTATGTTATACAACTATCTACGCATATCTTTCTTTTCTTTTTTTCTTTTTTTTGTAGTTGTAGATGGACAATATGCCTTTATTTTATTTATTTTTATGTGGTGCTAAGGATGGAACTGAGTGCCTCACAAGTGGGAGGCAAGTGCTCTGCCACTGAGCTATAGCCCCAGCCCTGAGTATATCTTTTAAAACTTCACTCGACATGTTTTTAAATTTTATCTGTTTATTCATGGAAACATAGCTCATTTATTTTCATTGTTGATGTTAATTCATAAATAAGCCTTACTGTTAAAAAAGAAAGAAAGAAGCCAGGCATGATGGCACATGCCTATATTGTGGCAACTTGGGAAGCTGAGGCAAGAGAATGAGAAGATGGCCAGTTTGAGGCCAGCCTCAGTAACTTAAGGCCCTAAGGAACTTAACAAGACCTTGGAGACCTTGTCTCCAATAAAAAATAAACAGGGCTGGGGATGTGGCTCAGTGGTTAAGAAACCCTGGGTTTAATCCTCAATACCTTATTTAAAAAAAAAAAAAAACTATAAGGAGATAAAAATGTGAGGGGAAAAAATGGAAATTCTAGAGTTGTTATTAACCAGAATAAAACATTCATTAGTGGAATCAACACTAGTTTGAACTGATAGAACAAAAATCGGCAAACTTAAAGGTAGAGATTATGCCATCTGAAGAGTAGAGATGAAAAAAAGAGAAATAAACAAAGCCTCAGAAATGTGTAGCATTGTTAAACACACCAACATATGAGTAAGTGGAGTACCAAAAGAAGAAAGGGGCTGGGGGCGGGGAGAGAGGAAGGAGCAGAAGAAAATTTAAGAAATAATCATTCTCAAGTTTGATGAAATACACATACACAAAGCACACAAGAAACTTAATGAATACCAAACAAGATAAATTCAGAGATCCACGCCCAGACATGTAATAAAAATGTTTAAAAAAAATTTTTTTAAAGCAGTAGGAGAAGAGTGATGTTGTATACCTGAGAACCACAACAAGATTAATGTTGTGGCTTATTAGGAAAAAAAAAAAAATTAGACCAGAAAGCAGTCAAATGACAGAGTGCTAAAGGAAAAACTTTTTGTCAAATTTATCTGTAGCAAAACTCTCAAAAATGAAAGTAAACCAGATGCACCGATATACTCCTGTAATCCCAGCCACTTGGGAGACTGAAGCAGGAGGATCATAAATTCAAAGTCAGTCTCTGCAATTCAGCAAGACTTATCTCAAAATTAAAAAGGAGAGGCTGAGGTTCAGTGGTAGAGCACTTGCCTAGCCCATGTGAGGCACTCGGTTCGATCCTCAGAAGCACATAAAAAGTAAAAAAAAAAAAAAAAAAAAAAATATATATATATATATATATAAACTCGCCTGGCATGCGTGCGGCCTGGGTTCGATCCTCAGCACCACATACAAAAACAATGTTTTGTCCGCAGAAAACTAAAAATAAATATTGAAAAAATTCTTTCTTTCTTTCTCTCTCTCTCTCTCTAAAATATATATATATATATATATATATATATATATATATATATAATTTTTAATTTTTTTTACTAAAAACATTTTTAAAAAATGAAAAAGAGAATGTAACTCAGTAGTAAAGCTGGGTTCCATCCCCAGCTCTTTACAGAGGATAAAAGAAAAGGGGTGTGTGTGTGGGGAGATTCTGGGGAAATGGCAGGGTCATAGGAAATACCAGGAAAATATCACCACACAGACAAAAATAGTCGTCATCATCTATGTGTTGAAACTGTTTTGGAACTCTAGTCTTTTGAATGCTTGAAACCAAGAGAAGGCTTGAATGGCAAATTACAGGGTCAGCTTCAGTTGAATTCAACTCTTAGCTCAGTGGCAACTTACAATTTTTCACCCCCCGCCCCCAGCCCTATGGCAGAAAGTGCAAAAGCTACAGGAGCAGTTTGTAAATGACTTATGAAAATCAGGTCAAATAAGAACCCTGCCCACCAAGTACCAGGCATCTGTGTCTAATTATTACTGTTGCTTCTAATCACGGAGGTGCAAGTGCACTGGGGCAGCCATTGTTGCTGTTAGCACTCAGCTTTTTATTCAGGAATGGAGTTTCATGCAGAAACAGAATGACACCTCTGATGGATCCACTTTCCTGGTGGAAAAAAAAGCCACTGGCCAAAGGAAGAGTCTGGGCTTATGCTGGTTATACTGAGAAATGACTTGCGTGTGTGGGAATCCGCCCATGAAAAGAGCGAGGACTTTTTCAGCATTGAAGCCCATGAGGGGGTAGAATCCGTTATTTGGGAACTTATAGTGGCACTCCCGCTATTAAAGCTGCCTGATACAAGTGAACTTCCTCTCTGCTCTGCCCAAAAAGATCTTCTGAAGCACTCGAGATGGGCGTGACCCATTAGAAACCGATGGCCTACCTGCCCCCACCTGTATCCTGTTTAGGTGAAGAACTTTCTATCGAGTCCATTTAATCTATTCTGATATAAATAAAGCAAGCTTGCGGTCTCCCTTCTTTGTCAGAACTGTACCCATCTGGTCAGGTTGGCCGGTCGCTGCCCCCATTCTGAAACTATATTTCTGTGTCCTATTTCTGTAGTACTTTTTTCCGTAGCTTTTATTTCTCAGCTAGCGCATCCTTCCAGAGGAGAACCCCCTCCCTTGCCCATGCAGGATGTGAGCGAGAAGTTTGTCAGTTTGGGCACTCAGTAATTTGGGTTCTGTTTTATTAATTAATGAATGTGTCAGTTTGACCACTCAGGAATTTGGGTTTTTTGTTTTTACTGGGCAGTGGAGGAGTTGGGGTCAGCAGTCAGTATCTGGGACCTGTTTTTACTGGGCAAGGTATAGTGTTGGGGGTCTGCCGCCAGCAACTGGAAATAATTTGTTCTGGGAGAGATCAATGCTTAAGTCTCTTCTCAGAGACTGTCATTCTAGGTATGATGGACTCGTTCTCCCCAGGGCTTTTTTTGTCACCTGGAAGGAATGGAGTTTCATGCAGGAAAGGATCAATACTATCAATGTGTGGCTTTCTTTTTCACTTCCTTTTCCCAGTCTGCACTATTTGGGGGTTTTTCATTTTCCTTATCTGACAGTTGCACCCCCCCACACACAGATGCAAACCCCTCCCCTATAGAAGTGAGGTCCAGAAATTAGATTTGGCACCTCCCGGCTCCCACTTTTTTTTTTAAACCCCTCTTGGGAGCCAGGCATTAAAGTTAGGACATTCAAAAACAACTTCACATATGGGGAAATTATAAAGTCAATGTGCATACCCAAGGGAAAGTGCAGTCTACACCTCAGGCTGATTTCAGGCACAGAGGCAATTCATAACAAAACAAGACAAAACAAGGGCTGGGGATGTGGCTCAAGCGGTAGCGCTCTCGCCTGCCATGCATGCAGCCCGGGTTTGATCCTCAGCACCACATACAAACATCGTTTTGTCCGACAAAAACTAAAATATATATATATTTTTTTCTGAATATATATATATATATATATATATATATATATATATATATATATATATATATAAAAAAACAAGACAAAACAAAAGCCAGCCGTCACGGTGGCCCATGCTGTAATCCCTGGAAAGAGATAATCATTGAACGCTGACCCCCAAACCCTCCATTCTTCTCCAAGTAAAAATATTGCCCAGTAAAAAAAAAAAAAAAATTCAAAATTCTCACAAGCCTGTTCCCCTGAGCGCCCAAACTGACATGCGCTGTCAATAAAACTCAGGGGCAGAGCACTCCCCTAGCATGGTGAGGTACTGGGTTTGATCCTTAGCACCACATAAAAATAAAACAAATGAAATCAAGACATGCTATCCATCTACAACGATAGACAGATAGATAGAAAGAAAGTTACCTCTTAGTGTAACCTATATAAGCACAGACTCCCACTTTGGCCAAGGGTTCACTTTCCATCAGGAAAGTGGGTCCATGAGAAGCATGACACCACTGCTGAATAAAGGCTTTGCTGATCCTTGAAGTCTGCACCCAGCTCAATCATTTGTGCTAACAATTTCCATTAAACAAGGGCATTATAATAACCACCTTAAAGATAATTGCAAATTGAAGTGTAAAGACAGGTCACCTCATGCCTTCAGTATAACCCTCACTGTTCCGCCACTGAGGCTTATTTTTATTTTTTTAATGTCAATTTTGATTTGATTTCTGATATTTCAATTTAGTTCCGATAACAAATAAATAAATTTTTAATATTTTTAAGGGAGAAAAATAAGAAAATTTTACTTATATTGGAGCTTGGTTTATCTCCACTTTTGTCATTATGAAATCTACATATGTTATGCTCAAGTTCGGGACCCCCAAAGACTACCAGAGACCAAGATCAATGTAAGCAGCAAAGAGGTGTTTATTGAGAGCTAGTTAGGTCCTCTGCTCACACACAGCAACTGGTGATGCTGAGAGGCCCTCAGGCCCAGTGTTTGCAGCAGTTTTATACAGTCTTTGGGGAAGGCAGGCACTTCACATACATCATAGCATCCGTTAGCAAATCATCACACACCACGGAAAAATCATAAAACAACTCTAAAACATGATTAGCACATTCACTGGCAGGAACAAGTTGGGTAAGGGTAATTGGTTAGTACAAGAGGGGGATTCCTTTGAACTGATTGGTTTAAGCCAAGAGGGGAGTACTTGCTGAACTACATGGTTTCCCAACATATTATCAACCACCATAAACTCTGGGGGTCTTCTGACATCCCAGCTATTTTCCCTGTCTCATGCTGATTGGTGGTTGCTAGGAGGTTTCTATGGGTTCTCACCTAGCCTGACAGAGTCAGGGACACCAGGCGCAGCAGATCTCTCCCATTATTTGTAGATAAACAACTCAGCAGGGTGGGTATGTGCCTAGGAGTGCTCTGTTGGT